CAGGTCATAAAGACCTTGCTGATAAAACAGTTTGCAGTAAAGAAGCCGGCTCTATCCCACCAAAACCAAGATGGCCATGAGAATGACCTCTGGTGGTCCTCACTGCTACACCCCACCAGTGGCGGGACAGTTTACAAACGCCATGGCAACGTCAGGAAGTTACCCTACCTGCTCTGAAAAGGGGAGACATGAATAATTCACCCCTTGTTCAGCATATCATCGAGAAATAACCATAAAAATGGGGAACCAGCAGCCCTTGGGGCTGCTCTGTTTATGGAATAGCCATTCTTTTAATCTTTTATTCCTTTACTTTCTTTTTTTTTGAGATGGAGTCTCACTCTGTCACCCAGGCTGTAGTGCAGTGATGGGATCTCGGCTCACTGCAACCTCCGCCTCCTGAGTTCAAGCAGTTCTCCTGCCTCAGCCTCCTGTGTAGCTGGGATTACAGGAGCCCGTCCCCAAGCCTGGCTAATTTTTGTATTTTTAGTAGAGATGGGGTTTCACCATATTGGTTGGGCCGGTCTCAAATTCCTGACCTCAGGTAATCCGTCCACCTTGGCCTCCCAAAGTGCTGGGATTACAGGTGTGCGCCACCACGCCCGGCTCCTTTACTTTCTTAATAAACTTGCTTTCATTTTACTCTATGGATTCACCCTGAATTCTTTCTTGCGTGAGATCGAAGAACACTCTCTTGGGTCTGGATCGAGATCCCTTTCCTGTAATACCTGCACTCCTATCCTGACCATAGCCTTTGATGCTCTGAGGTTGTGATAACTGCACAGGTTAGAGGAAGAACCCTCACTCAGAAATTTTGCTCCTGAAACTCAGAGGCACAGAGCAGAGTTAGGATGTGCTCATGTCTACCCTCACAACATCATGTGCGCTCATTTCCTACAATGCGTGATGGACATGCAGACCCACTTTCAAGAAAGCACTACCTGTCTCAAAACAGGAAGCATCCAATAAATGCACACAGTGTTAGTGGCGTACCCAATAGCCACCTGACTTCCTCCTTCCAATAGAATCCTGCTCTTGTCCAGGTTTCTATCCTATTTGTTCTGTCCTAGGAGTGAAACCGCCTTTGCAAAAATACGACTAAGACAGTGAAAGAGATCTGACTTAACAGACTCCATCTTGCTTCTAACCGCCAAGCTGTCTGTGTTCATTCATGGGCGTAAGCTGAATTAACTTTGGGAGAAACTTAGTTTATAGTTTATTTAAACAGCTCTTTCCCAAAGCGCCCCCCTTCTTGCCTGGGGACTAGATTGCCTTTGTAGGACTCACATTAGCCACAAGATTAGAAATGCTGGTTTAGGAGTCATGCAGCTGGAGGCTACAGGATTCTGACCCTCCCTAAACTGCTCCTTAAATCAGTGCTTGAGATATTTTGCAGACCCTGCACTTGATGGATCAGCTGGCACCGCCCCAATCAAAAAACTGGCTCACCTGATCTTGTGGTCCCTACCCAGGAACTGACTCAGCACAAGACGACAATTTCAACTCCTTGTGATTTCATCCTGATCAATCAGCACTTCTGGCTCACAGGCTTCCCCGATCCACCAAGTTATCCTTAAAAACTCTGCTCCCCAGCTGGGAGCAGTAGCTCACACCTGTAATCCCAGCATTTTGGGAGGCTGAGGCAGGTGGATCACAAGATCAGGAGATAGAGACCATCCTGACTAACACGGTGAAACCCTGTCTCTACTAAAAATACAAAAAAACTTAGCCAGGCATGGTGGCAGGCACCTATAGTCCCAGCTACTTGGGAGGCCGAGGCAAGAGAATAGCTTGAACCCAGGAGGCAGAGGTTGTCGTGATCCAAGATTTCGACACTGCACTCCAGCCTGGGCAACAGAGTGAGACTCCATCTCTGAACAAAAAACTAACAAACAAAACTAAACAAAACAAAAACCTCTGCTCCCCAAATGATCAGGGACATGGATTCGAGTAATAATAAAACTCCAGTCTCCCACACAGCTGGCAGTGTGTGTATTACTCTTTCTCTATTGCAATTCCCCTGTCTTGATGAATTGGCTCTGTTTAGGTGGTGGGCAAGGTGAGCCCTTTGGGTGGTTACAGAAGCAGAATCTTGATGACCCCAGGCAATTATAGTTGTCTCAGTGACTGGCTTAGGAGAGAATATGTGACCTCTTCTGGCCATTGACACCCTGGGGGAAATCTGGAGGCTTCTGGAAAGATTTTTTTCTCTTCCTTTGGAAATAGAGAGAAAAGAAAGACACAGATCCTTGTCCTCCTCTGGACTTAACCATGGCTGTTTTTAATCTTGGGATGTGGCAACCATCTTGTGATATGACAGGAGCCAGCCCGAGGCAAAACAAGTCTATTGAGTCTGGTAGTCTGAAGAAATGTAAACAACTGGGACCCTTGAAGAAATGGAAGTGACTTTTTTTTGAGTTGCTGAATTAGTCAGCCTGAAACTGCTCTCTCTGTGAACTTCTTTTTATATGAGACTAAATCCCCTTGGATAGACCATAATGAGTTAAATCCGAAAGGATGCTAAATAAGAATCCATAATTAGCTATAATCTCTATTCATAGCTGCTGCACTCCCTCTCTCTCTCTCTCTTTTTTTTTTTTTTGCCACTAAAAAGAAAACTGTGGTAAGAACACTTACCATGAGATCTAGCCCGTTTTTTTTGTTTTGTTTTGCTTTTGAGACAAAGTCTCCCTCTGTCATCCAGACTAAAGTGCAGTGGCGTGGTCTCAGCTCACTGCAACCTCTGCCTTCTGGGTTCCAGTGATTTTCCTGCCTCAACCTCCCTAGCAACTGGGATTACAGGCATGTGCCACCATGCCAAGCTAATTTTTGTATTTTTAGTAGAGACAAGATTTCACCACGTTGGCCAGATTGGTCTAGAACTCCTGACCTCAAGTGATCCACCTACTTTGGTCTCCCAAAGTGCTGGGATTACAGGCATGAGCCACTGCATCTGGCCCTGTTAATTTTTTAAGTGCACAATACAGTGCTGTTAACTACAGGCACTGTGTTGTACAGCAGACCTCTAGAACTTACTCATCTAGTATAACTGAAACTATATCCATTGAATAATAATTTCCCATTTCCCCTCCCCTTAGATCCTGGCAACCACCATTCTACTCTTTGTTCCTATGGATTTGACTATTCTGATACCTCCTTTAAGTAGAATCATGCCATATTTGTCTTTCTGTTTCTGGCTTATTTCACTTAGCAGCACGTTCCCAAGGCTCATCCGTGTTGTCTCACATTGCAGGATTTTCTTCTTTTCTAAGGCAGAATAGTATTCCATTTATACCCACACCATATTTTCTTTACCCATTCATTTGTTGTACATTTAGGTTGTTTCCACACCTTGGCTATTGTGAGAGGTGCTACAATGAACATGGGAATGCCAATATTTGAGCTTTGGATTTTCATTTTTTGGGGTAAAGAGTAAATTGCTAGATTATTCAGTAGTTCTAGTTTTAATTTTTTGAAAACCTCCTGATATGGTTTGGCTCTGTGTCCCCACCCAAATCTCATCTTGAATTGTATTCCCATAATTCCCATGTATTGTGGGAGGGACTCAGTGGTAGATAATTTTAATTATGGGGGTGGCTTTCCCCATACAGTTCTTGCAGTAGTGAATAAGTCTCATGAGATCTGATGGGTTTATCAGGGTTTCTCCTTTTGTTTCTTCCTCATTTTCTCTTGCCATCACCATGTAAGAAGTCCTTTCACCTTCTGCCATGATTCTGAGGCCTCCATAGCCATGTGGAACTGTAAGTCCAATTTAACCTCTTTTTGTTCCCTGTCTAGGTTATGTCTTTATCAGCAGCATGAAAACACCTCTATACTGTTTTCCATAGTGGCTGCACCATTTTTAAATTCCTGCCAACAGCATACAAAGCTTCCAATTTCTTCACATTCTCTTAGCTTTAAAAAAAAGAGAATAGAGGCAGGACAATATTTAACTCCAGGTAATACAGAGAACACCACAAAGATATTCCTCAAGAAGACCAACCTCAAGGCACATAATCGCCAGATTCACCAGGGTTGAAATGAAGGAGAAAATACTGAGGGCAGCCAGAGAGAAGGTCAGGTTACCCATAAAGGGAAGCCTATCAGACTCACAGCAGATCTCTCAGCAGAAACCCTACAAGACAGAAGAGAGTGGGGGCCAATATTCAACATCCTTAAAGAAAAGAACTTTCAACCCAGAATTTTACATCCAGCCAAACTAAGCTTCATAAGTGAAGGAAAAATAGAATCTTTTGTGACCAAGCAAGCGCTCAGAGATTTCATCACCACCAGGCCTGCTTTACAAGAGCTTCTGAAAGAACCACTACACATAGAAAGGAACAACCAGTATCAGCCTTTCTAAAAAATACCAAAAAGTAAAGAGCATCAACATAATCAAGAAATTACATCAACTAATGGGCAAAACAGCCAGCTAACATTAAATAAACACATATATTATAATTCTAAATTTAAATCGACTAAATCCCCCAATCCAAAGACACAGACAGGCAAAAAAAGCCAAAACCCATCGGTATGCTGCATCCAGACCCATCTCACCTGCAAGGATACACAAAGACTCAAAATAAAGGGATGGAGAAAGATTTACCAACCACATGGAGAGCAAAAATAAATAAATAAATAAATAAATAAATAAATAAATAAAAAGCAGGAGTTGCTTTAAAGCAACAAAGATCAAAAGAAGCAAAAAAGGATATTACATAATGATAAAAGGATCAATGCAACAAGAAGAGCTAAAGATCCTAAATATATATGCACCCGATACAGGAATACCCAGATATATAAGACTTATAAAGAGACTTAGACTCCCACAAAATAATAGTGGGAGACTTCAACATCAATATTAGACAGATCAATGAGACAGAAAATTAACAACGATATCCAGGATTTGAACTCAGATCCGGAACAAGTAAATTGAATTAACATTTATAGAACTCTCCACTTTAAATACACAAAATATACACTCTTATCAGTACCACATCACACCTATTTACAGGTTTCAATGAAATATTGGTTGGCTGCTTGTTTGTTATTTTCTTCCCTCGTTTTTTTTTTCATGTCTCTATTATTAAGCACAATTACAGGCATACCCATTTTTAGACTGCATTCTAGCGGGGGCAACAAAGCAACACCCCCGTTCTCTCTCCCTCTTCCTCTTTCTCTTTCTTCCTCTCCTTCATTCTTTTTTCTTTTTCTTTCTTTCTTTCTTTCTTTTTTTAGGAAGAAAAAAAAGAAAGAGAATAATAGCTGTCACAAAAATCAGAATATTTCTAGTGGCTGGAATGACCCATCCTTTTCCTAGAGGCAGATCAAAAAATGAAACACCATAATCAGAAGATGTGCAGTTATGCAGATGTGCAGGATATCATAACTAGGAGCGTATATAGACCCGATTGTTTAGTAGTAGTATAGTACCATACACTCAGATAAATTTTTGCCCCATTACCTAGTAACTGTGGGATTTTGGGCACATCACTTTAACAATGTTGAGAGGGTTGTTTCTTGTTATTCTTTAATTATTTAGAGATGAAAAAAATGAGGAGTCTAGTATCTCACACTCTTGATCAAACAGTACAAATAATTGTGAGCAACAAATCCTACCAGGGCTATAGTGAATTAACAGTATGCCCTCTATGTGAGCAATCAACTGCTAGCCATTTCCCTTTAAATAGGAAAAAAAAATGAAAAGAAAACAAATAAGAACAAATGTAAATAATCGGCGAATATAGTAAAAAAGTAACTACCATTACTAGAATATTCCTGTAAATTACTATTAAAAAAAAAAAAGAGTAGTCATTCTAACAGGTGTGAGGTGATATATCATTGTGGTTTTGATTTGCATTTCCCTGATGATTAGTGGCACTGAACATCTTTTCATATGCCTGTTGGCCATTTGTATGTCTCCCTTGGAGAAATGGCTATTCAAGTCCTTTGCCTATTTTAAAATTGCATTATTAGGGTTTTCGTTTTTTTTTTCCTGTTGAGTTGCAAAAGTCTCTTATATGTTTTGGATATTAACCCTTTATCAGATATATGGTTTGCAATTATTTTCTCCAATTCAACAGGTTGTCTCTTCCCTCTGTTGACTGTTTCCTTTGCTGTGCAGAAGCTTCCTAGTCTGATGTATTCCCACTTGTCTATGTTTGCACTTGTTGCCATATCCATGAAATCATTGCCAAGACCATGTCATAAAGCTTTTCCTCTTTCTTCTAGGAGTTTTACAGTTTTGGGTTTTACATTTAAGTTTTTAATCCATTTGAGCTGACTTTGTGTATGGTATAAGATAAGGGTACAATTTTCACGTGGATATACAGCTTTACAAAACACCATTTGTTGAAGAGACAACCCTTTCTCCATTGTGGATTCTTGGCACCCTCATTGAAGAGCAGTTGACTGCACATGCATAAGTTTATTTCTGGTCTATTTGTTGACATGTCTGTGTTTATGCCAATACCATGCTGTTTTAATTATCAGAACTTTGTAATACATTTTGAAATTAGGAAGTCCAATGTCTCCAGCAAACACAGCTGGAGTTCTTTTTCAAGACTGATTGGGGTATTCAGGGTCTTTTATGTTTCCACGTGCACTTAAGAGTTTTTTTTTCTATTTTTTTAGAAAATGCGCTGGAATTCTGATAGGGATTACATTGAATTTGTAGATCATTGTGGGTAGTATGGACATTTTGACAATGGTGACTCTTTCAATCCATGGACATGGGTTGTCTTTCCATTTATCTCTGCCTTCTTTAATTTCTTTCATCAATGTTTTGTAGTTGTCAGTGTACAAGTCTTCCACCTCCTTAGTTAAGTTTATTCCTAAGTATTTCATTCTTTTCGATGCCATAGTAAGGGGAATTTTTCCCCCTAATTTCATTTTTTGGCCATATCAGTTCTTCTACTCTTCCTCTTAGCAGGAGTTCTTCTAAGATTTGGCAGTGTCAATGCCTGAAGCCCACTTTGAAGAGAAAATCAGCATTGCTTCTGAGCAGAAATAGAAGTTAGTGCCTGGGTGTGATGGCTCATGCCTGTAATCCCAGTACTTTGGGAGGCCAAGGTGGGCAGATCACCTGAGGTCAGGAGTTTCACACCAGCCTGGCTAACATGGTAAAACCCAGTCTCTAGTAAAAATACATAAATTAGCCAGGCGTGGTGTTACGTGCCTGTAGTCCCAGCTACTTGGAAAGTGGAGGCAAGGGAATTGCTTGAACCCGGGTGACGGAGATTGCAGTGAGCCAAGATCACGCCACTGCACTCCAGCCTGGGTGACAGAGTGAGACTCCTTTTCAAAGAAAAAAAAAAAATAGAAGTTAGCACAATTGCTGGTACTGACAGTAATTACTTCCATTTCTTCAGCATATACTCTATGTGAAGTCAGTGCCAATCCCTTTGCGTGTAATATCTTATTCAACATCAAAATGATTCCATAAGGTAGATTTCCTCATCTCATTTTGTAGATGAGGAAATTGAGGCCCACAAAAGGTAAGTAATCTTCCCAAGGTCTCAGACTAGTAAGTTGCAAACCTAAGAGCCAAACCAGACTCTGGCTGCGTCCTGTCACCCATATCCCCGAACTCTTTCCCCATCTAACCGTGGGAACAGCAGATACACATGGGATAGGGACCTCTTCATCTGACAGTTTCACAGAATCAATGTGTGAGTTCCCTCGGGGTTGTGAAATCTAATTTAGAGCCCAAAGGTAATTGACTATATAAAATTCACTGCTTGACATGAAATCTCCTGTGCGTTTTATTTAAGTTCTCTGTACTTTAGATTCTTTGTGAGGTTGTGACAGAGATTTTCCACTGCCTACTTCCTCAGGATGTAAGAATATAATTGAGATAATGACTCTGAAAGCATTTTTCAATATTGAGAGGAAAGATAATATGGAAAGCCATGCTATTGTTAATGTGATTTTAATAACTCTTCTCAACTCTTAGGATGTTGATATTGTAATGAAACATATTAATTTATTGAAAATATTCCACACAGCTCCTTAAACTCTCAGGAGAAAAGTCTCTTTGAAAATGAAAATGAGAAATCAGATAAATTATCAGCTCTAGGTAAAATATTCTTTAGTGCTCAAAATGCAATATGGGGCAGAAGACAAGTTTGTTTTAAGTAAGGGGAAGCTCTCTTATTTTACACTAACATTTGTAAAACAAGTAAAGTATAGACTCCTTTTTAAAGGAAATATTTCTCATAGATATCCAATGTTGATCTAAATTCTTTTTTATTATATTACTTAAATATGAACAAAACTGAACTAGATACAGAGTCCTTATACTGCTAGATCTAATACAATGATAAAACCAAGATAAATCTATAAATTAGATAAAAATAAAATAAAAAACTAAAATTCAGATTAATAACGTGAATTTAATATGATGGATGATGTTGTTTTGTACTTAACAGCATAAAGAACAAAATTCTTATCTGGTTCTGTTTAAGAGTTCTGATTCAATTGTCAGGCTGCTTGGGTCAACTCTGTCTCTTACTAGTAAGCTTTAACGTCTCTTAGGCTCAGTTTCCTAATGGGGAAGTGAGATAATAATAGTACTCATCTCAAAACCCTAGTAAAGATTAACATTGGTAACATCTATCAGTTACTTAGTACAGTACTTAGTACATAATAGGGGCTCAATAAACATTAGATATTATTAATAATATTGTTTTACTTATTTAAAACTAATAAAAATTTATATTTTCCATAAATATGGGATTAGTAATTTCATTATTTTTTAGCTTATGATGATCAAACCTTATATTCAACCAAATTC